CAAATATGCCTCAAAATAAAATTTTTGAATATAAATACAAATACGTTTTTTCAAAAAAAATAGAAAGAAAGAAAATATGATGATTATTATTTGCTAATCATTTATTCTTTTAATTTTATAATTTAATGAATATCATAAATTAATTAAAAATAACTAAAAAATGATAATATTGATTTTATTTATGTTTTTCTTTTTCCTGAGGAATAGGGAATTATTTTTAGAAAATAATTTATCAGCCATATTCTGTTAAGATATCGGTAAAAAAAGGGATGGTTTATATGTTTTGGATATTATTATAGTAAATTCCTTCCTAAATACCTAAAACAAATATATATTATCTTTACAGTGATGTTATTTCATTGTCTTGTGATTAGTGTTGCGTAATCGGCTAAAAACTACGCCTAAGCCTAATAAGGCTAAGCCTAAAAATCGGCTAAGCCTAATTAGGCTAAGCCTAAAAATCGGCTAAGCCTATTAGCCTAAGCCTAAAAATCGGCTAAGCCTAATTAGGTAAGCCTAAAAATCGGCTAAAACTAAAAATCGGCTAAGCCTAATTAGGTTAAGCCTAAAAATCGGCTAAGCCTATATAAATCTGCTAAAAATTAGTCAAAATTCTGCATCGATGCTTAGTATTTTTATTAGTAAAATAATTTATTTTATTTATATTTAATGTAAATATTTTATTATTATCAACAAATAAACATGATATGATTTAATATTTTTTATTTATATTATTATATTTTCAAATGAAAATAAATTTATTTATTTGATGTTATTTTAATAAAAAAAATAATATGCTGCTATATTGTAAAATTGTAATATTCTTTTTAATATAATTTATTAGTGATTTTCACAATCTTCTTTATAAATACATCTTTTATTGAGGAATTATATTGTAAATTTTATTAGATAAATAAACAATCTTTTAGGTGAAATCTTTTATAATTTTTTTTTCATTTTTTTTAAATTATCTTTTTTATTAAATGAGGTGGATTTTATGAAACTTTTTTGATGATTTTATATGATCTTTTTAAGGATAATATTTTAATGTGACAATTGTCATAATCGTTATTTTATAAGTTTTTTGAATTTTTTTGAAGAAAATAGGTTAAAATAAGTATTAATAACATGTGTAAATATAAATTTAGTGAAGATGTACCAAAGAAAAGTGACAATTGTCATAATCGTTATTTTTAAAGTTTTTTGAATTTTTTTGACGACAATATGTTAAAATAGGTATTAATAACATGTTTAAATAAAAATTTAGTGAAGATGTACCATAGAAAATTGACAATTGTCATAATCGTTATTTTTAAAGTTTTTTGAATTTTTTTGAAGAAAATATGTTAAAATAAGTATTAAAAACATGTTTAAATAAAAATTTAGTGAAGATGTACCATAGAAAAGTGACAATTGTCATAATCGTTATTTTATACGTTTTTTGAATTTTTTTGAAGAAAATAGGTTAAAATAAGTATTAATAACATGTGTAAATATAAATTTAGTGAAGATGTACCAATGAAAAGTGACATTTGTCATAATCGTTATTTTATAAGTTTTTTGAATTTTTTTGAAGAAAATAGGTTAAAATAAGTATTAATAACATGTGTAAATATAAATTTAGTGAAGATGTACCAATGAAAAGTGACATTTGTCATAATCGTTATTTTTAAAGTTTTTGAATTTTTTTGAAGAAAATATGTTAAAATAAGTAGTAAAAACATGTTTAAATAAAAACTTAGTGAAGATGTACCATAGAAAAGTGACAATTATCATAATCGTTATTTTATAAGTTTTTGGAATGAAGAAAATATGTTAAAATAAGTATTAAAAACATGTTTAAATAAAAATTTAGTGAAGATGTACCATAGAAAAGTGACAATTGTCATAATCGTTATTTTATAAGTTTTTTGAATTTTTTTGAAGAAAATATGTTAAAATAAGTATTGATAACATGTTTAAATAAAATTTAGTGAAGATGTACCATAGAAAATTGACATTGTCATAATGGTTATTTTTAAAGTTTTTTGAATTTTTTTGACGAAAATATGTTAAAATAAGTATTAATAACATGTGTAAATATAAATTTAGTGAAGACAATGAAAAGTGACAATTGTCATATTCGTTATTTTTTAAATTTTTTTGACGAAAATATGTTAAAATAAGTATTAATAACATGTGTAAATATAAATTTAGTGAAGATGTACCAATGAAAAGTGACCATTGTCATAATCGTTATTCTTAAAGTTTTTTGAATTTTTTTGACGAAAATATTTTAAAATATGTATATAACATGTTTAAATAAAAATTTAATGAAGATGTACTCTAGATAAGCGACAATTGTCATAATCATTATTTTTCAAGTTTTTTGATTTTTGTTGACGAAAATATGTTAAAATGAGTAATAATAACATGTTTAAATAAAAATTTAGTGAAGATGTACTATAGAAAAGTGACAATTGTCATAATCGTTATTTTTAAAATTTCTTTGATGTAAATGGGTAAAAATATAGATTGTAAAAGTAAAATTGCCTGAGTATATGCCATAGAAAAACATATGGTAATAATAGATTCTTCCCCAAAAACAGGAGCAAATTGGCATTTTATTACATTTGTTCATCGGGTCAGAAATTAATATGCAAAATTTATATCATAATATCTAATCCTAAGATAGAAATTATTATTTTTTTACCAATTTTCACCAGACAATCTTGTTTAAAATTTGGATAAACTTTTTTTTCTATTTTAAAATCAATATCGATGCAAGTTAACTATTTTCGTCAAAAAAAATCAAAAAACTTTAAAAATAACGATTATGACAATTGTCGCTTATCTAGAGTACATCTTCACTAAATTTTTATTTAAACATGTTATCAATACTTATTTTAAAATATCTTTGTCAATAAAATTCAAAAAACTTTAAAAATAACGATTATGACAATTGTCACTTTTCATTGGTACATCTTCACTAAATTTATATTTACACATGTTATTAATACTTATTTTAACATATTTTCGTCAAAAAAATTCAAAAAATTAAAAATAACGATTATGACAATTGTCACTTTTCTATGGCACATCTTCACTAAATTTTAATTTAAACATGTTTTTAATATTTATTTTAACATATTTTCTTCAAAAAAATTCAAAAAACTTTAAAAATAACAATTATGACAAATGTCACTTTTCATTGGTACTTCTTCACTAAATTTATATTTACACATGTTATTAATACTTATTTTAACATATTTTCTTCAAAAAAATTCAAAAAACTTTAAAATTAACGATTATGACAAATGTCACTTTTCATTGGTACATCTTCACTAAATTTATATTTACACATGTTATTAATACTTATTTTAACATATTTTCGTCAAAAAAATTCAAAAAACTTTAAAAATAGCGATTATGACAATTGTCAGTTTTCTATGGTACATCTTCACTAAATTTATATTTACACATGTTTTTAATACTTATTTTAACATATTTTCGTCAAAAAAATTCAAAAAACTTTAAAAATAACGATTATGACAATTGTCACTTTGTTATGGTACATCTTCACTAAATTTATATTTACACATGTTATTAATACTAATTTTAACATATTTTCGTCAAAAAAATTCAAAAAACTTTAAAAATAGCGATTATGACAATTGTCACTTTTCATTGGTACATCTTCACTAAATTTATATTTACACATGTTATTAATACTTATTTTAACATATTTTCGTCAAAAAACTTTAAAAATAACGATTATGACAATTGTCACTTTTCTATGGTACATCTTCACTAAATTTATATTTACACAAGTTATTAATACTTATTTTAACAAATTTTCGTCAAAAAAATTCAAAAAACTTTAAAATTAACCATTATGACAATTGTCACTTTTCATTGGTACATCTTCACTAAATTTATATTTACACATGTTATTAATTCTTATTTTAACATATTTTCGTCAAAAAAATTCGAAAAACTTTAAAAATAACGATTATGACAATTGTCACTTTTCATTGGTACATCTTCACTAAATTTGTATTTACACATGTTATTAATACTTATTTTAACATACTTCCTTCAAAAAAATTCAAAAAACTTATAAAAGAACGATTATGACAATTGTCACATTAAAATATTATCCTTAAAAAGATAATATAAAATAACATCAAAAAAGTTTCATAAAATCCACCTTATTTAATAATAAATAGATAATTTTAAAAAAATGATAAAAGATTTCACCTAAAAGATTGTTTATTTATCTAATAAAATTTACAATATAATTCCTCAATAAAAGATGTATTTACAAAGAAGATTGTGAAAATCACTAATAAATTATATTATAAAGAATATTACATTTTTACAATATAGCAGCATATTATTATTTTTATTAAAAAAACATCAAATAAATAAATTTATTTTCATTTCAAAATATAATAATATAAATAAAAAATATTAAATCATATCATGTTTATTTGTTGATAATAATAAAATATTTACATTAAATATAAATAAAATAAATTATTTTACTAAAATAAATAAATAATAATTAATGCTAAGCATCGATGCAGAATTTTGACTAATTTATTTTAGCCAATTTTTAGGCTTAGCCCATTTTTAGGCTTAGCCGATTTTTAGGCTTAGCCTAATTAGGTTTAGCCGATTTTTAGGCTTAGCCTAATTAGGTATAGCCTTACCTAATTAGGCTTAGCCGATTTTTCCACCTAAAATCTCGGCTAAGCCGTTTTTAGTCGGCTAAAATTAGCCGATTACGCAACACTACTTGTGATAGCTTTATTTTGTTCTATTATATATCGTTACTGTAAAGGGCTATGGGTTATGTTCCATACTTTGAAAACAAAAACTTCCTATATTCAAAATAAAACTAAAAATTAATTTTTCGACGCTCATTTTGTTTTTCTTTTCTAATCGACACCTCATATATTTCCATATATATCAATGGTGTTGGTGGTTCACTGATAATTATGAGTCAAAAGCTCTTTATTAATTTTTTTCTTCAGTCAAGTATTTTTATTCGGTGTAATAATTTTAATTTAAATAATATATATGTTTCACTATTATAAATATTTTAAAATAAATATAATTTAGATTAGGACAAACAGGTTGGGACGGACATAAAATTTGCGATATACATATAAACGTGTCGTGTGTTTACTAATAAATACTTTAATAATATGAAAACAAATCTAATAATATTCTGAATTTAAAAAAATGGTTAAATATCTATAAAAATTTATTTTTAACAAATATAAAAGTATCTAAAATAAAAATATTGAATATTTTAGAGTTTATATTTAGGAATGACTTTAAAAAATTTAATATACGCTTATTGCACTTGATGTAGAACAGTTTATCTTCCATCTAAATATTGCACTGGTAATGTATGTATGGGGCAATAAATCACTATTTTTCCTTGTAAGGGAGAGAATGCCAATTTTAAAGACATTAGAAGGGAAAAAAACTAATATAAATAAATATCGATTTTAAGAAAAAACTTGATAAAATATAAAGCTTGTAATTATATTAAAAGTGTAAAAATTTAGTACAATTTTTAGGGATGGATTCAACATTTTTTCAGCAATTCTTCCCTCAATTTAGCGTTCAATTCTTCTTGAAATTTACTTAGATTTCTCTCCTGAGTCTGTGAAAAATTTTCGATTTCTTGAACTTGCGTGTTGACTTGATCGTCGTAAGTTTTGGAAGGATTTTGAAGTTTTTTCGTTATTTTGTCGTACCTATCGAGCAAGTAAAGCTTTCTAGCCTTTAGTTCTTGCAGACTAAGTTTCTCAGCGTTTCGAGTTTCGTATATGTGTGAAGATGGATTCAATTCGTTGCCCTGGGGGATATCTAGGATATCCGTTTTGGAATTTTGAGACCCCTTTAATTCCTCATCCTCATTAGATGACGCATTTTTCCGATCCAAGGACTGCTGCTCCAAAGCATATGACTTGGAAGTATTGGGCACATTTTCATCGTCAAAATTTATGAGTAATTGTTCCGAATCCGGTAGAGGTGATGAGACATTAGGAATGTTACCATTATTAGTAATCTGTTTAAAATTTTTATTTTATTTTAGCCGTTTTATAAATTTACAAATAAATGAAAATGTTTTCCCATATCGGGAAGGTGTGTCATTATTTTTCTTTCTTTATGATATTTTCTTGATTTCTTTTTGGTACTTTAAAATAAATAAAATAACCTTTTCAAGCGATGTCCCAGTTAAGTAGGCGCGTTCTTCAATTTCCCGTAATTCAATTTCTTTGATAGACAATTCAAGAGCCTAATTATTATTTTTTTTATTAATGAGATTTAAATTAATTTATTTAAAATTTAATATCATTTTGTATGAAAGAAATATAGGCCCATTAATTTACATGCCTTGGCAAGACTGCATAAAAAAATTAACAAATAGTTTTGCATTTTATTGTTAATATGTTGGAGAGACCTGCAAAGGTACCATTTGCACAGCCCTGCCCGGACTTCTTAAAATTATTATAGCTAATAATGGCGATTAAAATGCTTTCCAGGGTATTTTTTAAAATAATTTTAGGCCTGGCCCAGGTATATTTAATAAATTTAAATATGGCCCAACCCGTGTATCGGGTCCGGATTTGTAGGTCTCTGATATATTGTATTAGTGAGGAAGGTGGGGGGGGGGGAGGTGAAGAGATAATTTTTATAAGCTTAAAATGCTATTTGAAAAAAAAATTGAAGATTTGCCGGCTGTTCACACCTAAGTATGATAATGTTAAAAAATTATAAATTTTAATAATTCGAGTAATTTAAGTAAAGAAATTGGGTTAAAAAATAATTTGCATTTCAAATCACAAGCAGGGGGTCATTTATAAAGAAAGCGACCCAACCCAAAAAGGTTACGAATTTTCTATTATTTATTTATATATGTTTGTGTTATTATTTTTAAAATATAAATCGCTCGCGTTTCTTTTTAAATCTAAAAAAATATGATTTGATGCAGAAAATATATATTTCTTTCTTTCTTTCTATACGTGCAAATAAGTTTCAGATAATTTATTCGTAAAATCTTTAAGTCATTTTTTAGTTATACGTGGCAAAAATATTCAAATATTCCTGGCAAAATCGATTGTTTTTCCCAAATTTAAAAAAACGCGCTAAAATTATAATTGGAAAATGTAAAAATTAAGTAGGCGTTGGAAGAGAAAATTCATAGACTAATATATTTATCTGCAGACCCGGACCTCGTAAATTTTTTTCAAAATAAACCAAGACCGAGCCTAAAAAAATTTAATTTTAAAAATTACCCGGACTGACCATAATAATAATATAAAACGGGGGCCCAGCCAGGTTAAAATTTTCTTTTACAACCCCGGGCCAGACCAGGCCGGGCAATTGGTACCTCTGCAGATTTCAAATATTAACAATTCAATGAATAACTGACATGATGTATCAGATTTTTTTCAAAGTGACCATATTATCTTTACAACCAGAAATTGTTATTTGATTTATCACTTTTATGAATTTATATTATAAACTTTAACAGATTAAGAATTTTTAATATTAATTTCTGATGTCCCACAGATAAAATTAATAGTTATAAATGGACTAACTACGAGGATGGCCTTAAGGTGTTTCCCGAGTAAACGAAACCATAAATTACGTTTCTACCGGCATATAGGAATCAAAAGGAACTAGAAAGATGGGAATAAGAAATGAATCCCCTATGTAGGAAAAAGTAGTGATGCAAACTTTAATGGGGGGAGGAGAAGGTATTGTGAGTTCATTTACTACCCGAGTCTTATATTGAAATTTTTTGTTTTAAATTTAAAATTGACAAGTTGGGGAACATAATTTATATTTTTGAGGTGGGGCATTTATAATCGAAAAAAAAATTATTATACGATATTCATTCTTTTAGGCGGATTCGCGATAATTATTACACTATATAAGAAACGAAAAAACTTTTTCGAGCATCTTCCGTTCGATCTTGAGACGTTTTTGGTATATAAGATATTCGTTTTTGGAAAGCATCTTAGTCTTTTCGATGTCAGATTCAAATTTATGGGTTAGCTCTTGTTCCCTCAACTCGTATGTATGTTTAGATAATCTACAAAATAATAAATAATTTTTTAAATATTTAAGAAAATATATTTATTGATTTAACAAAAAATTCATATATAATTTATCATAAATATTTTTTTTAATAGTTAGGAAAATGTATTTATTAATTTGAAAAGAAAATTCAAATACAATTTGAAGTGATAAAAAATAGAAGTAATAATTAATAAAATATGCTAAATAAATAATAAAAATGAATAATCATGAATAGCCTAGTTGGAATACTACTAACATGATATAAAGTTTTAAAACAGATTTTACTATTACATGATAGACTGTCAGATGCTTCAATTTAGGAAAGTCCAGTTTTTATTTTTTACAGGACAGCAAAAATTGCTCCAATTTCTTAGATAACAAAAAAAACACTAAATATTATAGATAAATTTTCTTATTATTTATTTTTCTCCCTATAGATAATAAAAAATATATGAAAATAAATATATTATAAGATAAGTAAGCTCTTTTTGTTATATTTTTAACAATTGATTTTCAAAATTTTGATCAGATAAACAAGGGCACTTAGTACTCATTACAACTTTAGCCGTGAAACACTTTTTCAATGGGTGCAAAAGATGGGAGTTATTAAATAAATCTAAAGAATGATCCTTATTTTCATTAAATAATCTTCATTCAGATCCTTGTCATTTTAAAACAAATTCTATATCAGAATTTAATCAGAAATTTTACCTTCAAATGTTTTTTTAAAATTTGAATTGCTGGACATTGAGATTGAAATATTTGAATTAAAGCACAATCTACACTTATAAAATGTAGTTATCCAAGAAATCATTAATTCAAAAATATTATATTAGTAACCTTAAATATAATTGTAGCTAAATTGCCTCTCATACCATCCCTTAAATCTAAATCAACAATATATAAACCTTTTCTAACATCTGAAATCTTTAATTGAATAAGGAATATGCCAAGTATTGATTTTATTAAAATGAGAATACAATTTACATAAAAATCCAATGACTAATTTCTTAAAACTAAGAGAAAAACTGAGTTATTGGTTGAGTCAATTTTTAAATGACAAACTCAATATTTTATCTAAAATTTTTTTACGCAAGCCTTATTATTTTGGTCATAGATGGCAGAAAGGATTGAACATACTCCGAGGCTTTTAAATATTTTTCTGGCTAAAATATTGTGGTAGCCCTTTTTAATAATCAGCTCAAATCGAGCCATGGTGATATAGTAATAATAATAAATTAAAATGGGACAACACTAGTACAACACCTCATAATCATCTAAAAACTCTCAGTATTATGTGAGGGGCCTGAAATAATTCAAGTAGTTCTTATTCTTAAGATAGTTTATACCAATGTGTAAATGAATGCAAATATAAAAACAATTATGCAATTTATATATATTTTAATATTAATCATGGTCAATATGGTTGAGATATAAATGAGATTATAGTGTGCACTATCACTTTTAAAATATTGCTAAAATATCTTGGCAAAAATTTTTCAAGAATTTTGTTATATTTAAATTTAAATATGATGGCATAAAGGGAAAATATTTATTCTTAGCATACATTTTTAAAGATTTGTAATAAATTCTAATTTCAAATGTTGTAAAATTTTGTTTAAAAAAGGAATGTTAATTGGTGAATAAAATTATATATAATTACTCTAATATTTGTTCTAGATAAAGTTCTTGATTAATTAAATCTTCCCTTATCTTCAATGGTAATAATGATATTAAGTCAGAGGGTTTGTGAGAGGATCTTAGCATTAATTCAAATATTTGAATGTCATAGATAGCCATGATGGGGTATAAAAGATCCTTTGTCAAGTTTAGCTATAATACAATATCTATAATAAAACTTGATAATTTTTAATTTTAGTTTGATATATCGGATCTCTACAAATATTTGCAAATTGTGTATATTCCATTTCACTCTCACTTAAAAAATCATTCAAGACAGGTTCAAGCTATAATTGCATATATCTTAAAATTTAATATAAGGATCTACTTGATGTTTGTAATATTCATGTAGGATATTCATATTTTCTGTCAAGTCATTCACATTATCAACATCTAATAATAATTTTAATCAATAAATATATTAGCATATTTACTTATTTGGTAACTTTTTACAAAATTATCAACTTGGAAAGACCATTTATAATCCCTGGCTACATTTATAAAATAATCTATAACCCATTCATCCATATATAATCCATGATCAAATACATGATTGAATGAATATTTATTTACATAATATATCGATTAAATGGTTGTACTTTCATTACAAAGTTTTATAGGTTGTATTTTATATTTATGGAATAATCTATATTTTTAATTTCAACTAATTAAAAAATATAAAATTAAATAGTTATACCTAGGTTGATAAAATCTTTTTAAAAATTCGGTTCAATCTTTATCTAACCCTTTTACCTTTGTCAACGAATTTCAATGAAAATTTCTTGGTCTCATAGCATATCAATCAACCTAGATGCACCTCCTCATGTTAATTTTTTAAATACATTGCATTATCTTTCTGCCCTCTTTTTATATATGAATAATATATATTATATTTTATAGCCTATATCTTTTATTGTAAATTGTAATCGTTTTTAAATCAAAATAAAAACTAGCCTTCTCTTATTTAAACGAATTCAAACTTTTATTTTTAGATTTATCTTACTTTCAATCTTAATTAAAATTTCCCTTTTAGCTATACTCTATATCCAAAACTCTTTTTTAACTTTTACTTTTCGTTAGCTAAAAATTATCAAAAGTTAAAAAGATCAAAAAAAATAAAGACTCAAGTAAAAAAAAGCTTTGGATACAGTAACAGGTTGGTAAAAATATTCTCTAGCCATATGAACGCATTTATATGGAGAAATTTAAATTTTCATGCAAATTAAATATTTTTATATTAAAATAATTTGTAAAATGATTGTGTTCAATTGTCTTTACTTAAATTTGTAAATAGTATTTAATACACAAACATTTATAAAAATGAAATATAACAATTTTAAGGTGAAATCAAAATACAATAAAAAGTTAAAAAATTTTATCTTAGAGGGCATGAATTTATTCGTAGTCGTTTGTAAGCACGATTTTATATTTATACACTTCATCTTGAAATGTCAAATCACTTTAAACGAGTTAGGCTTCAAAATGATATGAACACCGAGCGCCTTAAATCAGATGATGAAGATTTGTCAGGTTCGGCTCATTTTATTGTAAAGCTTACTTAATTATGCATCTAGATGAATATTCCAAACTTATAGGGAGAGATTACCAGGCGATCATTACTGATTATGATCCTGATGGTTAGAAAGCATTGAGTTTATATTAATTATTTTTCTTTAAAGAGGCTCTCATTGCCAAGGATAAGGATATTTGCTTATGGTCACCCAAAAATATAAAAAATTTTGAGCCAAGTTTTAAATAAATTCAACATAAAACTTATTAATTAACTATTAAAGTTTACAAGTTTATAGAACTAGCTCGATTTGATCATGGTTATTCCTTTGATCAAGCATTAGCTGTTATAAATTGGCATGATTTTGATATAGATTTAACTCTAAAAGAAATAAAAAACTGGAGACCTCAAATAAATGATTGGTCAATGGCTGATAAATATCTATTTGAACAAGCTTTTAGATATTGTGGTAAAAATTTCCGCATGATACAACAACTGGTAATATAAATTTATATTCTTTTGTCTAATTTTGAGTTATCCTATATTTTGAATAATATATTGTTTTTATATTACATTATTTAGGTTCCACATAAATCACATGGAGAACTTGTGACCTATTATTACAATAGAAAAAAATTAAAACATTGCAAAAGTTTTATAGACATACAACTAAAGTCTCTTCAAACTCAGAAAAGACTCAAACTAGATGCAATTTACAATGCTAATAATAATCAAAATAACACTAAAACTAATGAAAGTTTGGCTTTGAGCAGTAACCCACTAAATAATATATTTGATGATAAATGTATTTTTGAAAAACCAGAGATTTGGAAATTAAATGATAAAGATAAGATAAACTGGGATTTTGAGGCACAAATTCATAAACAAGATTTTGATTTGTTCCTTAAACACCATAAACCATCTCAGAAAATAAATCTTATGAATATTGAATCCAATGAAAACAAAATTGATGATATATCAATCCATTCAAATGATTCCCCTTCATTCAAAGAATCTCTATTTGCCAATTTAAACACTCAGATATACAAATTGAAATGCATTGTTAGAAGAAATCACCAAATTATAGCTCAAAAAAATGAAACACATATATAAATATACCCTTTTTCTGAAAATATATTTTTTTAACAAAATTATATTCATAATATTTAAATTATATTATATATATTTATTTATATAATCTATTAGTGTAATAAAATAGTGTACTATAATTATAAAGATGAACATTCATGGTTCAGATGGGGGGGGGGGGGGGTAAAAATTGATAAAAATAAGTCGTAATTGTAATAAATGTGATGTGATAATTTAAAAATATAATAAAACGATATAGTTTAATCCATGGTAGTTTTTTAAATAGTTTAATTGATGGTCGTTTTATTAATTTCGACGAAATAAAAGATTAAAAAAAATTATACTAGTGGGTTTATTCAAAATCGAGAAAGATGTTCAGTCATAAATGCAGTATACTTTTTTAATGTATATTTTATTTGATAAAGTGATTTATTTTAACAGATGTATTAATTTTTATGTAAATGATGATATTTATTGCATTAACGAAATTGTAAAGATCACTTTTTCATTTTTATATAAACTTTTGATTCAATTTAATTTTATAATAATAAAAAAATATAAAGAGAAAGTTAACAAAATTTTAACTCAGAGTATCGCTATCAGAGGCGATACTCTTATTCCAATAAAATATATACGTTAAATTAAATAAAATTTCAATAATTATTAGATTCTTTTATTCAATTTATAAAAGATGAATATTCTTTTTAAATTACAAATATGAAAATTTTCATATTTGTAATTTAAAAAGAATATTCATCTTTTATAAATTGAATAAAAGAATCTAATAATTATTGAAATTTTATTTAATTTAACGTATATATTTTATTGGAATAAGAGTATCGCCTCTGATAGCGATACTCTGAGTTAAAATTTTGTTAACTTTCTCTTTATATTTTTTTTATTATTATAAAATTAAATTGAATCCAAAGTTTATATAAAATGAAAAAAGTGATCTTTACAATTTCGTTAATGCAATAAATATCATCATTTACATAAAAATTAATACATCTGTTAAAATAAATCACTTTATCAAATAAAATATACATTAAAAAAGTGTACATTACAACACGCCACCCATTACTAAACCCAAGTGTTAGGGGTGATTGATAATATATGACCAATAATATACGAAATATAAATACACATCTGACGTTTTTCATTTGCTCCAAACTATATATTTAAACATTCCGCTTATTTTGGTGTCTATAAAATTTTCGCCTAAAATAAATTATCTTGATCGACTTTAAATAAGAATTAAGAAATGCGGCTTTATGTCCATAGGATGACGCCGTTTGATTCGTCTCACGAATAAGAATAAAGAAATGCGGTTTTTCTTTTTTTTTCAAAGGAGAACGCCGTTTTAGTCGTCTCACGAATAAGAATAAAAATATTATATAATTTCTTCGGCTACAATTTCTTCAAAATTTTCATACACATCTCCCCATCATTATCGGTAAATCCTTTAATATAATTTCGAATATGATTTCGGAAACATTATTTGAATACCCCGGAATAATTTCCTTATATTCTTGAATAATTTTATATAAGGATTTAAATTAAATTTTTTTTAGCGAAGTAAACATAACGTATACAATATCTTTACTAAAAAATTGTTTTTATAGGAATTTCATTTCTTTGAAAGAATACCAATGAATAATGTCATAGATAATATAGTAGGTTAGGTAAAGATTTCGAATAATTTGATGCATATATTTTATTCAGCTATTACTTTAATAATAATATTCACTTGAAAACCTCCTCCCAACAAAACAAATATCGAATAAGATCCTTTATGAAAGTCTCTTTTTTTAATATTTATTATTTTATTTTATCTTAATAATATTAATTCCCAATTTTGGAATATTTATCCTTTTTTTATTTTACCTTTATAATATATTAATTCCCAATTTTGGAATATTCATCCCTTTTTTTATTTTACCTTTATATATTAATTCCCAATTTTGAATATTTTTATTTTTATTTTACCTTTATAATATATTAATTTACAATTTTGGAATATTCATCCCTTTTATTTTACCCTTATAATATATTAATTTTCAATTTTGGAATACTCATTTTTTTTATTTTACCTTTATAATATATTAATTTCCAATTTTGGAATATTCATTTTTTTATTTTACCTTTATAATATATTAATTTCCAATTTTGGAATAATTTGCCTATAGTGGCCTTCTCTCAAAGTTGAATATAAATGAGAATATACTGCACCTGAAAGATTGATCATTTCGCCGCATTGATAATATAGTAGGTTATAAAATTGCGAACTGTGACTGCAATAACCCTTATGGAACATTTGTTTTACATGGCACCATTTTCATATTTGTAATTTAAAAAGAATATTCATCTTTTATAAATTGAATAAAAGAATCTAATAATTATTGAAATTTTATTTAATTTAACGTATATATTTTATTGGAATAAGAGTATCGCCTCTGATAGCGATACTCTGAGTTAAAATTTTGTTAACTTTCTCTTTATATTTTTTTTATTATTATAAAATTAAATTGAATCAAAAGTTTATATAAAAATGAAAAAAGTGATCTTTACAATTTCGTTAATGCAATAAATATCATCATTTACATAAAAATTAATACATCTGTTAAAATAAATCACTTTATCAAATAAAATATACATTAAAAAAGTGTACATTACAACATGTAACAAATGTAAAAAAAAATAATTTTATTGTTTGTTGCTAATCAAAGAATTTAAATTATATAAGAGTGTCATCAAATGATTCTATTCATAATATTTGGAAGATGACAGAATCGAGCAAAATTAACTGCAGAGATTAATGGATTAGATGTTGAATTTAATTTTAGTTAAGGTTGGATCACGAACAAGGACCCTACCTGTGATAATATTGAACACTAATGGGGTGCCTCTTTTCCGATTACCCATGGATAGTATTGTTCAATTAAGTTATGCCTTATAAAGTTATGATAAAACAAGTTCGGAATTCGGTTAAAGATGTTTCCTTAAACCAATCTAAAACTTCAAATGATTCTAGAATTGATTAATAAACATCAAGAACTTTTTGATAAGATGGGACATATGCGTGATTTGCTGTGCGAATGTATTTAAAGGATACAGCTGTACAAAGTTTGTTCCCAGCCCATAGGGTATTATTTCCACTTCTCAAAGCAATTGATATGGAATTAGACCGACTAGTGGCTGTGAAAATTATCGAGCTGATTGATCCGGCTGTAGTTAGCGTACAGTGGTCAAGGACAACCACAAATGTGAACAAGAGTAAGAGCGATAATGCAATTTGTGCTGATTTCAAAGTTACGCTTAATCAGTGTTTGACCATCATATTATCTCTACCTTAGACGATTTGTTAGAGAAAATCCAAGGTGGTGATAAATTTACCGTGATAGATCTCAAGGATGCATATTTTCAGATAGAAGTAGAATCGAAATCTCAGGAATTTCTAACAATAACGACTGATAAGAGATATTTCTGTTACCAATGAATGCTTTTTGGATTGGCGAGTGTACATACTATATTCCAGAGATCTATGAATGAGTTATTAAAAGATTGCCATATGACCGGTACTTAAATGTCGTAATTATTTCTGGTCGAAACAATAGGAGCACATAAAAAATTAGTGCATCGTTTTAGACAGATTACGGGTTTTAAGGACAAATTGACGAACGTTAGAATTTTAGAAAAATCAATATCATTTTTAGGAGTGATTATGAATAAATCTAGATAAAATTTTAAGAAAAAATGAAAGCTATCAGGCATTAAAACCTATGAATATACAATATCTTAGATCCTTTCTGGTACTCGTGAATAATCATGAAGGTTTTATTAGAAATCTAGATAGTAAAGCTACGCCATTACATAACTAGCTTGAAGTATGGCGGTGGATGAAAAGATGAGCAAAATTCCTTCGAAGAGGTTAAAAAATTATTATCATCCTAGGAAAAGTTAGAATGAGAAGCATCTGATTGAGGATTAAGGGCTGTGTTGTTAATTTTAGCTACTAAATTGATTAAAGCACCACTACCAACGAATCACTAAAGGATTATATATGTTTCATAGTTAGTGCCTCTATAAGTTTGATGGAAAAAATTTAACCTCAAAACATTTTTTTAGCATATAACTATTTTTTCATATTGCGAAATTAATTGTTGAATTTAGTTAAGCACTAAATAATGGTGAAAAGGATGTATATTACTACTATAGTTTTTGAATTAATAAGCCGCCATTTGTTGTTTATTTTTTTCTTTAATAATTCTTTATTTTAAATGGGTTACTAAACAAATTAAAACTAACGGAGCACTAAAGAATGATGTAAGTTTCATTGTTTATGCTTTAAATCGTTCGGCCAACTTCACGTCTAAACCGTCACGTCGTAACTTTTATTTAGCGTATAATATTTTTTTTATATGGTGATTAACTAAATTAATAACGGAATTTAAATATATTAATCGTGGTTGGCAAGTTGATAAATTGACCGGCCAAATCCAGTCTATTTACCTGTCAATTGAACAAAAGTGGTCAAATAAGGTCGAATACATTATGTCACAGTTGGGAGTTAAATATAAAATATAAATAAAAATATATACTAAAATTATAGTTTGACTCCTTTATTAAATACTAATACCAAAAATTAATTATAAATTATATAAATTAATATAAAGGAAAAACATAACCAAAAAAATAAAAAATATAAAAATTACTAAAAATTATATGCGAAAAAAAGTGAAAGTAAATAAATTAAAAAAAGTAAAAGTGCTTTAAATTATAAAAATTGTGTATTTTATATAAAATTAACATCATCCGATTATAACATAAAATTTCGTCTCATTATAATGAACTTTACCATCATTATTCAAAAATTTTTATCATACAAAACCAAATAACTTTAAACATCTTATTAACAATATACATATTCAAATTCAATTTTATATAGTTTTTCGTAAATATTCAAATTTATAAGCAAATCGAAATAATGCAATCACAACACATTAAATAATCGGAAAAAAAAATAAAAAATATGTTTGAAAAAAAAATAAAAAATGACATAAATACATGTGTTCACAATGCCCCTTATTTATTGGCCCCCCTATATCAAGAGGAGTAATCTTACTAGCAATGATATAATACAAGAATAAGGCATTTTTTAAAGTAATGATCAAAATATTTCAAATGATGATCATAAATTTCAGGAGTAAAAGCCATCAATTTAATAGCAAATTATGTCGAAATGTGGAAAAAAATAACTTCTATAAGAAACTATCAGATTCCGGCCTCAAATTAGTGGAATGGGCTAAAAGTGGCATTTTACTAACAATTCCTATTTCTACTTCTTCAGAAAGAAAGTCGATTTGGGTAAATATTCTTACTAAAACAGAAATCGATTTAAGATCTCGACAACAGGAAAATTGAATTAAAAATTAAAGAAAATGATAATATTGAATATAAATAGAACAAGACTCTGCCACGGAGAGCGAAATATTAGTTATTGGAATGACAATGAATTTAAAAAAATATTATAAAATTAAGACTATAGATTCATTTTACTATTAAATAATAAAGTTAATATTTTATTAAAGAACATTTATTTAAATTTGACAATATTTAATCATTTCACCATATTTGACCAGTCTAATTCGGTCATTGATTAAATCGTATTTGACCGGTCAAATACGCAACCCTGATATTAAATTTATTGACGAAAAAAAAACTAGTTTAGTTCTTTTAAGTTTTTGTTTTGGCATGTCGCCATTATTTGTTTATTTTTGTTTTTTTTCACAAATAACTTTCTATTCTTTTCTATAAAAGTGATTATCTTCTCAACTAACGAAGTGCTAAATAATGATATATGTTTATTCGTTAGGATTTTAACGAATTTTAAGCATGAAGTTGGCCATAGTTTTTTATTTTTATTTTTACTTATAACTTGTTTTCCTTAACTTTGACTATACTATACCGATTGAAGTAGTTATAAATAGCATAAGTAAGGAGGGGCTTAACACTATTCATTAGAAGGGTCAAGATATATCTAAATGCAGGGGTTTAAATAATATCGTTTATGTTAAGTACCTAATATATATGAATGCTGTGTATAGAGTGTCTTTACCAGGGATCCAAACCAAAACGAATATCGGTTCGGTTCGGGTTCAGATTCGGATAAAAATAACGGTTCAAGGTTCAGGTTCGGTTCGTAAAAAACCAAAATATCGGTTCGGTTCGAACCTCTAAAAACCGGTTTGAACACTTTTGTATTCAAACCTACATTCGAATTATGTATAGGGAAAATATTTTTTTATTTTATCATTAATTTAAAAAAATACATGTATAAAACCTACCTTTTATTTTAATTGCACATTATAAAATAAAATTTAATTTATAAATATAAAAATAAATATCAATGATTAATTTTAATATGAACAATATTTTACTTTTTTTACTTAAATTTTTTTTATTAAGCCACACAATGAATATATTTTCAAAATTCGTCCCACTCAAATTACATCTATAAGGAAATAGCTTATAAACTTAATTGTTGAAAAACATCTTTCCATAGTCCACACTAACTCTGGTAGCATGCACTGCCAATATGATATCAAATTTGATATGTGATTTATAATAATATTTTGGATTTAATTTTTTTCTAAGCCTTATAATTTATAAGCTTAGAGGAAAATGTTGTTAAATGACAATTTACTAAAGTTTACAAAAATTATTACCGACACTTATCAATTAAACGTGATTCATAATAATCTTTAAAATAATTAGAATATAATTGAAATTTTTTCAATTATACTAATAATAACTTACATATTATTTTATAAGCATAAAATCATGAGTCTAGAACCGGTTCAAATGGATTTTATCTATTCGGTTCGGCTAGAATTTTTTAAGCGGTTTAGGTTCGGTTCAGGTTCGATAAAAAATACCGGTTTTTAGCGGTTTAACGGTTCAGGTTCGGTTTGGATCCTTGGTCTTTACACTTTTTATCTTTCATATGATTTTGTTTAAATTACTCTTGTATAAAAAGGCACCATTTTTAAAATAAAATTTTGGCATTGCTCTAAGAGGTGTCTCTGCAGCTGTGACCGTTACTTCGCTCGTTTTTAGATTAATTTCAGAATTTAGAGCTCACTTTAAATCCAATATATTTTTTTAAAATGGATTTAATAAAAATTGCTAAAAAATAATTAAAAAATACGGCTATATTATCATGCCAATATTTTTTTATTTGAAAAAGAAAGTTGGGATGGGACAATTACACAATATATTGATTATTTTATTAGCAAGTTATGCAACGATGGTTTTCTTTTCTTTTCTTTTCTATCGAATCGATGATGTTATGATTTTTTTTCTTTAAAAAAAAATTCTTAAAATCTTTCATATTCTCAAAAAAAAGAAGAGCTTAAAAAATATATAAAAATAAAGAGAAATTATTATAATAAATAAAAAGAAATTAACAGTTGCTTTTGTTTGCTCCTTCCCGTGTGTTAACGTTGAGCCCATATAAAAAAATATGATTATTTTCTAAAAATAAACATAAAATAAAAATATAATATAATGATGACACGAATGAATTATCTTAATTTTTTCTTGCGATAGTTTTAGAGTTTTGGAGATTAATTTTAAAAATAAAAAAAAATATTTTTAAATTTTCATAAAATATGCATTCGACAATTTTCTCAGGTTTGATTCTCGCAAACGTTTTGATAGGATCCTGTCTTCCAGGTATAATTTTTTTGAAACAATTATCATTTTATTATACCTTCTTATTTTCCCCATATGTTGAGATGAATATTTGTTTTTGAAAATCTAATAATAATGTACTATTCCGTATTCGAAAGAATCTCTTATTCGATTGTTACAATTACGTAGTGTTAAACGGCTCATTTTGAGCCGATTCTTAAAAACTACTAACTCAATTCAACCAGAAAAATATTACGCAAGCCTGAAGATTTTGCTCATAAAAGGAACAAAGGTCTAGATATATTAAATCTTGAGGCCTAGGAAATATTTTTTCCGGCTAAAATATTGAGTTGGCCGTTTAACAACACTACAATTATGAATACCAAACTATTAAATTGGTTTAAAAATTCGAATACGATTAATTCTATCTGGTTTATATTTATTCGTTTTCGAATAGATCTATTTAAGACTTGCAGTCCCGGATTCTCCACCATGGGACTTTGTTACAAATACAGGTAGGGCCCGAATATTTTAAAATAAAATTATATCCATTGGTATGTTGATAAATCACATGTTGGATATTTAAAAAAATTTAACAATTGATGCTCATTAAAATGTCCTGTTTGGGATAACATTTTCTTAAAGGGTGGGGTAATCATTTTCTTAAAGGGTGGGGTAAACATTTTGTCCATAAATTTTATTATTCCGATAAGAATTTAGCAGAGTTATGGTGTCAAATGATGATGCAAAACGTGATTTTTATTATTACGAATAAAAAAATCTAATTACAAAATAATATTTTTTTTAAAAAAGTGAGTAAAATTACAATATCAATATTTTTTGGGCTATTAGTTAGGGGAAAACACAGATGCCCATATGAATATATATATTTTTTTCTTCAAAATATATTATATAATATCGCAACTGCTAAGTTTATTGAAAATTATTTGCTCTGCAGTTCTTAGTAAGAAGGGGTGAGGGGCGAGCAAATGACAAGCTGTCAAGCCTATTAAATACACCAATATATGTGTTAATTTCCTGATAATATTTGACCAGGTTTATAATTATTTTTATTAATACTTCTCAGCTTTTATTTAATAATAAACTAGCAACTTTTTTAGTTTCATGATGTAGGATTAGGAATTAGAGAATAAATGATATTTCTAATTTTTATGAAATACTAACGTGGAATGAATTCATTTATTTTTTTTGTAAACTACTAAAAATTTAATCTCGTATAAATAATGTATTTTTTCCAAAAAAAAAGCATCCGTTCCAGCAAAAGCTTTAAAAGTTCCTAACACCTACTATGGCTGGGAAAGCAAATTGAAGAAAGATTTACTCGATGAATACGATTCCGACGTGATTCCAATCAAAGAAATCGGCAAACCTATAATTGTCAAGGTTGGGTTATCTTTATCGGCCGCTCACAAAATCGTAAGTCAAAAATCAAAAAAAAAATAATGAAAGAATTGAATTAATTTTTAAAAATCGCATATTTAAAATTTTATTTTTTATAATAATATACAAAAAAAGGACATCGAGAAGCACAAATTTTCCGGCAATTACTTTTATAAAATGGTAAATAAATTATAATTAAATTTTATTGATTTTTATTTTGTCCTTTTTTTTTAAAAAAAATATAAATTTGTTTTTGATTAAAAAAATATGAATATTTTTTTTAGCGGGAAAAACGGATCAGTAAAAAATAAAAATTGGGGGGGGGGATGAGAAAGAATGGAAAAAATATAAAACTTTTATTGATTTGTTTTTAAAATTTGCGGTTTATCTTTCTATAAATAGATGGAGTTGTTAAAAAGCCCGATTAAAAATAAACATTATGCAAAGATTTTGCTCATAGCTGGCAGAAATGCTTGGACATCTATTTGCCAAATCTCGATGATGATTAAAATATACAAAAAATTTAATTATACCAGATTCTACAATTGGTAGATTTTTACCCGAAATCCTGCCCTCCCAGTATTTTATTTTTTTTAACCCGCTTACCCCCCCCCCCCTCTCTCAGGGTTTTTAAAAATATCTTCCACCCGTCAACCCATCCCCGCTCGATTTATTAAAATTATTTGATTGGTTGTTTGACTCTTTATTTATTTTATTTTAAAATATTTCATTAAGCTTATAAAAATATATCATATAATCAAACAATAATATATTTTTTAATAAATTTGAGCTCGTTCTCATTTTCCTAGAAATCTATTTTAAATTTACCCTCACCGCTCGCTCGCCAGCCTATTGTTTTGAAAGTAATTTAAACCCGCCCGCTCATGACTACACAATGGCAGCTGGGCTATAACCAGCTCATTGCAGACCTCTACTACTACATATGTATGTTGATTAAGAGGGCACCCTCCCCCCCTTTATTTCAATAAAATAATTAATTTTTAACCCCCCCCCCTCTCATATCTATGTAAGAGGATTCTAGCTTAGAGTCAAACAGAGTCGTAAAATTTCGTATCTATAAAAGATACAACAAACAATTGTAATATTAACTATTTATCAATATGCATACCCAGATCTCCCTATGTGAATATTTAAATATTTTGGGGATATTTATTCAAATATACCTGATACAGATACATGGTTTAAAAAGATATCAAGAACAAATATATTTTATAAAAATGTATTGTATATAGACAAGATATTAGATGAAGCATCATTTTATTTTTGATGGGTAATATATCCATGGAAAAGAACCCTTAGAAAATGTTTCACATTATTTATAAATTATCTCAGAGGAATTCTAAGTGAAATTTAACGTGTTTACAGTCTTTCGAACCCCATTTTATTAATAGTATTTACTATTTAGAATTTTTTTTTTATATATTATGTTAAAATTAAGTAAAGTATACTGGATAAAAATGTCATTTCACCGCTTTTTGCATAATGTAATTTTCATAAATTATTTAGCTCAATAATGTCTTTTTATTTATTAATGATTCTATAATTTATTAAATTGGTTAAAATTTATATTTGTATGTAAGCAAAATGAAATGTATAAAATATCAAGAATATTACATTATGTCATGAATGCACTTTTTATAATTTATTTATATTATTATACAATATTACATATATAATAATAATACACTTCATCAATACATTATTTTATCCTTCGAAATAAATATGTAAATTGAACCAGTTTAGATTCCATTTCCCAATGCCCCAGAGTGTAAAAATTAAAATCTATAAACATAATAAGTGACATAACTATGAATACTAAGTTATAATTTTAAACGACACCAATTTCATTGAATTATAAACTCTGGAGAACTGTTGCGATTTTTACCAGTACCATATTTTATCAAATATTTATCCTTAAGGAATGGAAAGATGAGCGTCTAAAATGGGACCCTTCTGAATACGGAGGCGTAAAGACGGCGTTTTCATTCGGCTCTGACGACATTTGGATACCAGATATAACACTCTACTTTGGGTAATCAGAATGACTATGTGTGCCATATTTATTTATCAATTTTGTTAATAAGACAGAAAGGTATTCTAGGATTAAATTACAGAAGTCATTTAGGACAGATCCCCAATAATTTCCCATTTTCTCGTAAACGTATTTTTTAAGCGTTTTTGGCATAATTTTAAATTAAAAATGAGGAAATATTAAAATATAATATGACTAAAGATTCCTCCAAATTTGATATTATAACTAGTATCCATCAGTGATGAGAATTTTGGTTTAATATAAACGAAACGTTCAATTTAAGAAGATTTTGGCCTCCTAATTCACTTCTAGAATAAGACTAATTAAGAATAGGAAAATACGATCTCTTGTATTATATAATATATATTGAGACTTAATTAACGTTGTGGTTGCTAATATAAATTTTTTAAGATGTCTTTAATGTAAAATTCAAGTTTTATTTCCCTAGAAATTGCTTAAATTTTTTAAATTTAATAAAAATATAAAGTTCTATAGATGAGCCAGATGCTTTAACCAAACCTCCTTACACAATAATTCGCAATGACGGAACAATCGTGTGGGTTCCTCAGGCCAAGATAAAAATTTACTGCCAACCTGAATATCCGAAGAGAACACCATCAGCTACCGATGAATCAGAAATTGAAGGACACCACCACTCCATTAAACATCATCATCACGATTTCTCTGTGGAAGACACCCTCATAATTATAATGAACATGTCGGCCCCTGAAAACTCCTCAACCGATGGCTCCGAAGATGTAAACTCCGCGTCTAGTTTAGATAAATCGGAAGCGGTGGGAGCGAAAACGGAATCCAAAAAAGAAGGCCAAGAAAGTTTAGAAAAAGCTGTAAAAGAAATAAAGGAGAAAAGTAAAGGAAAACAGGAAGACGAAAAGAATGAAGAAGACGGGGAAAAGAAAGAGAAGAAAAAAAATAAGGAAAAGAAGGAAAAGGAGGATGATGATGATGACGACGATGACGACGACGATGACGACGAAAAAAAGAAAGGCAAATCTAGAAGGGGAATTTTCAAAAAAAGGCATAATAAACGGGCATGGAGTCGACCCGGATTCAAATTCAGTAACAAACCTAAAACTAAGCACCATCATGGTAAATTTCACAAATTAGACGGTTTAATTGAACATTGCGATATTAAATTCGGTTCATGGATTTATGATATCGAGTATATTAAGGTGGAACCGTTCACGAACGAAACGGGAGTCAATATGGAATACTTACAATTCACCCACATCAACGATTCGAATAAAAATGAATCCAGCTCCCATGATAAGGAAGAATATTCCGATTCTTTGAACATAACCATGGGGCCTACAGAAAAGAATGCATCTAAAAATTCCAGCGTATCTTCTAACGATAACGATATTAAAAAAAATACCTCCGATAGTTCTGACATCGAAGAATGCGGCAAAGGAGTTTGTCTGACCCCTAGACACGATATTACTTGGAAAGTCATCGAAAATAAGATTGAAACTCACCAATCTAAATATCCCTGTTGCGAAATGCCTTACAGCTACATAACTTTTCATCTAAAATTCAAAAAGTTACATCGCCATCACCACAAGCATCAAAACTAGCCGCATGACTATGTTTATCAAATTATATTTCGTAAAAATTAAATTTTTAAAATCATTATTTATACAAGTTAGTAAATTTTTTTTATAAGATTCTTGATTTACTTTGTATGCAAGAGATAAACTGCAATAATTTTTTTTTATTATAATCAAAATTTAGGTAAATAAATATACTAGACGTTTGTATTCAACAAATAAACAGATTTTATTTTGTTCTAGAAAGGTCTTATTATTGAAAAAAGGAACTAAAATTTTAAATTAATAGAATACCAGTTAATTTAGGGCTTTATGATAAAGATTTAAAAATTCTTTTACATTCCTGATTATAAGTTACGAAATTTATTGTTCATGTTACAGAGTTAGAAATTTTCAAAATAAAAGATCGCTGGAGATTTTTTTTTTAAATTAAAATTATTTTAAAACAACATTTTTTTCGAGAATGTTTAAATAAGATTTTTGATCAAATTTTACCTAAAATTCAAAATATTTATTGTTAAAAATTATATGTAAATCTTTTATCATTTTTACGCATAAATTACAACTTTTTTTTAAAAAAAAATTATCTTTAAAAAGAAATGCTATTGTCATATTTTCCTAATACCCTAATTTTTTAAATTAAATGATTTACCTTCACTTAAATACTTAAATTATATATCACATTTGTGTTTATAAATAACATCATCTTTCTTTTTTTTCTTCTTAAACTTTTATTTTACTGGAAATAACTAACTAAATTGCTTCTATATTTTGTAAAGAATCCAATTTCCTCACTTACCTATCAAGACAGCACAGATAGGATTATTGTTGAGGGCCATATGACAAAAATTATTTTTTGAGTGTTCAGTAAACATTATATTAGACAAAAACATAAAACCAAAAATTATTTTTAGAAAATATATGTTTAAAAAGCATGAGTATATAAAAAATATACTAAACGGAAAATATTTCAAAACATAAAGGGGAACATTATAAAGAGACATGCTAAATAAAAAAAAAAGCAAAAATAATCTCTTTAAGTCATCCCAGCCAAACCATGGTTCGTTCGGTTCAGGTTAGATTTGTATATAACTAGCGATATTTGTTGCTTAATATACAAGTATTTATTGCATTATGTTTTTGATAAGATACTACGACCTATAATTTTCAATATTTTTAAAGCTTCAGATCCGAAATTTGATAAGATAGTCGTGACGAAGGTTAAAATGGCGAATATTAATATCTCCGCTTGGAATAAAGAATGGAATTGCAGGCTAGTTCTCTGTACCACTTTTGGTAAAAAGGTTATGTCATCTAGCCTTTTTCCATCTACCGAGGTAGAGCTCTTAGGGTTCTAGAATAGATTTTACTTTTTTGTTCATAGGAAATTTTTTTGGTTTAACCCCTAGATTTGATTAAGGTATAGTAAGCGCGTTACATTCTAGCGTTGAGTTATTTAAACGCAGAGTTATTACAAAATGAAACCAATAAATAGGTAAAAATTTATAAAAATGTTACTTTATGATAATTATTACGCTATGATCAAATTTGAAAAACATAAGCTGCGATAAAAATATGCAATACGATTATATGAATAATAGCAAATTCGGTAAAAAGATATATAATTTTTTTAAACAAATAAAAGCTAATTAAAAAATATTTCGACTCAAATTATTGTATTTACTCTTATTTATAAAATTTCTAAGAAAAAAGGAAAAAAGCGATTAATTTAAAAATATTATTAAAATAATATCAATATTAAATAATTAAACGTAAACCTCTGCGTCATTGATGAATATTTTCCTAATCAGCAGCCTAAAATTGCTATATTTGATACCAATCTCTTCAGAAATATCCTAACATATTATATCTATAGATATCAAATGAAAGCTAATAAAGAGATCTATATGATGATCAACACTCTAGTCTTTGAGGTTAGTGAGGCAGCATTAAAATGTTCTTGGCATAATTTCTTGGATAAAAATTACAAAAAGTTGTGCTTATTTTTCAAATATTTTCATGTTCATTTTTGAATAAATCCCATTTTAATTTTGAAAAAGAAATCAATATCAAAGGAGTAACTTTGTAAAATATTTTTCTAATTTTTTTTGATGGATAACCTAAAAGATAGCGCCTATATATTGAGGTTATTAAGGATATTTTTATTGTTAGATTTTACATGAACACTGGTAAACTTATTATTTAAAAAATATTAATAATACGAAATACATTATTTTAAGTTACGATTTTTGAAACTTATAAAGGAAAATAATCAATATTAGTTGAACATGCATTACAATTGCTTATATAATTAAATACCCGGATTTCGTTGACAATTCTTTTTGGTGGTAGAGGTATATTTGGGAATTACCTTTTAGAATGGTGGTGGGAAAAAAGGAAAATATTATTCCATAATCCTCCAAGCGTTCAACGTTATCGATTTCTAATGTGTTTCGAAGCGTCCAAATTTTACCCTTTCGAAAAAATATTGTTTCATTCTAATAGCCACTATAGCCTAGTCGGTTCAGTGTGTGCATCTCAATCCGCTGCTTTGTAGATGGCCAAATAAATTTGCCTGTAAAATACTTAGTTCAAATGAAAATTGAGGTGTTAAGGGATATTATTAATCAGATAGAGTAACGGGTATTACCGAAATATTTTTAGAATATCAATATATTATAGCGGATGCAATATATATTATAGCGGATGCAATATATATTTATACTAAACGGTTTGTTAAAATAACAGAGATGGTATAACCAAAAAAACCTTTAAGAGAATATCTTCTTTAGCGAAAGCTAATATGTTAGAAGCTACGAAAACAATTTCATTTTCAAGAATGTATAGCCATTGCTTAATTGTGGAAATAATAAGACTTGATTACCCATAGTATTAGTGACATATCAGAGCATAGCGATTATAAGTAAACTAAAAATAATTAAAAATAAGACTATCAGCCAATATTTTTTAGCAGAATATTTCAGTTGAACGTGAATTAATTGAGCAGTCGAATGAAGCGAGATTATTTATTATGTATGCTCACCATTCTTAATAATATAAATATTTTTAAGTAAAAAAAAAAGAAGAAAATAAATTTGGATAAATCCATCACATTTTGAGCCCTTCGAACTTTCGTCCGATGAGGTCTTTCCTCTTTCTGCCACTACACCTGACTTAAGACTTGTAAAATAAAAATAAATTGAACCTTTCTTTGGTTTGACCCGATCAACATTTTCTTTTTGCATAAACAAAAGCATGACAAAAGAGATTTTGCAATGTAATTTTTTGATCTTTAAATAAATTTTAATAACAAATTTAACAACGATTAGTTTACAACAATCAAATAAAAGTTAAGATTCCTCGATATCATAATACGTAGATAGTAATTTTTATGTTGTTTTCGATAATATATCAAATATGCCATTATTATCTTTTCTAATAATAATTACCATGGTAACGCTTAAATTATACATGCGTCATAATTTTATAATAATTATTAAACTTGTATTAGGCAGCTATTAGGGGATAGAATATTTAGAAGAATGAGCCACTTAATAGGTGTAGGGTGACCAATGCTATTCGACAGTTGGGTTAAGAAAACGAACACATATAACGTTTACATTAGAGTTGTTAATTGTTTCTATTATAGTCAAAAGATATATTTTCATTTTCTATAAAAATATGTACAATATTTTTATTTAGTAGCGGGAGATCTGTATTCTAAAGTTATCGATCAAAATCAATCTTTAACCCATTCACGCCAACATTTATTTTTAGTGTTTTTTGCTTTGAGGCAAATCATTTCTTCAAATTTTTAAAATTTATATGAGGCATTCCACCAGCGTCTACATGATAGGATAATCACTTGAAGCAAAACCCCCTCAAAAACCTATATCTAATCCCCCCCCCCACCGTTTTAGAATTTAGTTTTAGTCATCTTTTTTTAGAAATAATTTTATTTTATAAAATATGTTTTTTTTTGTATAGAATATTTTTCTCAATCCGAGATGTAAATTTGTATATAGCAAACCCTTTAGATTGAAATCGTTTTATTTGAAAATGTCTATTATTTAAACTTAAAATATAATTTTATTCAAAAAGGGTACAGCCCTTTATATATTTGAAACTTTTTTAAAAATGGCTTAATCTCCTCTTCAACCCCGCCCCCACCTACACATTTTCAAGGATAGGCATGCTATTGATTCATAGAAAACTATATTTTAACGAAAGTGAAATTTTTAAAACTTCTATATTCATCTTGCTGGCATGACGCCTACCAAAAAATCAAATGTTAGTTTTAGATATCAATATAAAAGTATTACGAAACATCTATTCATCCTCTTTTCTATACGCCACTGATAATTATCAACATATAATATTTATATCTATTTTAAAATAATATATAATTTATAGAAAGAAAAATGAAATAGAATACAAAATTATTTTATTTTAATATTTAGTTATTTTGTTTTTATAAGAATGCATATTTTATTTAATATTATAATTTATTTAAATTAATTTTAAATTATATTTTTATAATTATTATTTACTTTTTTTAATTTTTATTTTAATTAATATTTTATTTTATTTTATTTTAGTTTTATTATAATATAAAAAAAACAAAAAAAAATATACAATATTTTATTTTAATTTACTAAAATGTCATTTATAATAGTATTACAAACATTTTTTTTATAAAAATTAATTTATTACAATTTGTGATGCCAAATATTTGTATATATATTATTATATACAAGTAAAATTTGTAATTAAAAATATATATTAAGAATAATAAGTCACGACTAGTAAATGTAATATGTATATTCTGTAAATGTTTAATTTTATATATTTTTTTAAAAAATTATTGTTCATATTTTTTTTTATTTTGAGTTATATAAAAAATTAAAATATTAATGAATAATATCGCTGCCTATAATTTATCTTTAATATGTTTCGCGAATCAAACTATCAAGATTTATCAGGAAAAGGATATTGGCTGGCTCCAAAAACTAGTGTACGTATATTTCTTAGGACCGCTTCTTATTTTTGGTATCACAAGTAATGTTTTCTATTTTATCCTAACTTTTAAAATGGAGTACAATAAAAATATCACTAAGAGAAATAAAGATCACACTGTTCATGGTCAAAGTATTAATATCCCAAGTAAAAATTCTATCATTCCCCAAATCC